TCCATTTTTCAAATCAAAATTCTTGCTAGGTGATTGTAACTCCTCAGTGTCTTTTGGATGGAGAGCTTTTTTCCCTACTCATCTAGATACCTCACTTTCTATTTGAAATGCAATTTCTTAATTAGCTCATGCACATCATAAAATGATCCAACCTTTCAGCAGAAAGGCAATCAGAAATAAATAAAACTTCCTTACCAGCACCCAGGCAAGGAACCAACAGAGAGAAGGTTCAATCTCAGGTAGAGAAATAACATTCCTATTGCTGAAATGCTTTACTGTAGAAATAGTGAAGTGGAACACATAAGGGAAAAATCTCTGAGGAAGAGGGAAATGTATGAAACCATGCAAAGACACATAATGTCTTCAGAATTTCAAAGATGATCCCTGAGCCAGAAGACTGCTGGTTGGAGCTCCACCAGCTCAGGCTGCTGGCACCACCTCAATGTGCCTACCCTGAGTGCAGGGATCTCTCTGCAGCTGCTCCGCTCTCAGCTGGACCTTCCACGACACCTCTTGGGCATTCAAGAAGCAATGCAAGCCAGCGTGGTATTTTTAAAAATGAAGGTCTGACTAAAACTTGGGATTTTTATGTTCAAATGTCCGCATCAGTGCACTTACCAGCTGCCTTGGTGAGAATTCACTGATGAAATGCCCAAATGGAGAAGTATCAAAGAGGGTAAACCTGTTATTGTGGCCAATCTACTTGCCTCTGCTTCACACACTAATGCTAATAGAATCCAGAGTGGCTACAGTCAGTCACTTCTCATCTGGCTACCAGGGACATAAAATAGTTTGAGATGCTCCCATCCCTGGAGGGGTTCAAGATCAGGCTGGATGGGGCTTTGGGCAACCTGCCCTGGTGGAGGTGTCCCTGCCCAGGGCAGGGGGCTTGGAACTAGATGATCTTTAGGGTCCCTTCTAACCCAAACCATTCTATGATTTTATGCTGAGGGCTGGATAGGCGTACTCTAAAGCTCACATTACTCTTTCAAAGGCACCTAACCCTAACATGGATGAAGAACAGGGATTTAGGCAGATTTTAGGTTCTTGAATTTCTCCTTGCACGAGTTAAAACCACACAAATTTTCTTATTTTTATGACTTTGGCTTTGACTCTTTTTCACTCTAAATTACATCATGAAATTAGGAAAAAATACATATAATTTGCAGGCTTTTAAAGGTTGCCTTCAAAAACAGTCCACTGAATACGCGATGCAAAATGCTGAGAGACAGCGAAATGAGGCTGGCATACATGGAACAGAGAGGCACTACAGGAGATTTTAAGGAAAAGAAGGTAAAAAGGGGGGGGGGGGG